TTTGGATTTGTCACAAACATTGTCTTATGATTATGACAAATTCACATGGATAGGAACACATACACCATCAAATCTAAGTGTTAAGGTTTCTCTCCGCTTCATGAAAATGATTGTGAGGAAACGCTTTCACTAAGAGAGATTTTAAGAAGATAGCAATTGTGACATTTGCATTCTCAAATTTGATTATGACTATGGCATCCCTCTTCATAGTTCGAATTGTGAGATTTGGCAATTAGTTTAAACATTTAAGACTTATTGCTATAAGTGCTGAAATTGTTTTAACACACATATGAGCTATCTAAGGAAAGGTGTATGAGTTTGAGAAGCTTAGATAAAGGCTTATCAAAGCATCTCGTATCAGAAATATAAACTTTCGTTAAGAAATTCAATAAGTATTTTTTTCTAGAAGTTCAACTGTTTTCTAGTACATGTCAAAGCTAGTGGGAGCATAAGTGTTATGCTGGTAATAATATAATTATCATGTTAGTGGGAGCATGATTATTATGTTACGAGTTAGCAATGTTAATTATAGAAAACAAAAGTTTCAACTCGCAAAGTTGCAGAGGTTAAAAGGTTGTTTTGCTATAATTAAGGGAGAGAATATTATACTTCATTTCAAATCTAAAAGCTTAGATCGAGAAATTTTAATCAAATTTAGTCAAAAGGGCATATATAAATGTTATGTTGAAAAGATTCAACATAAGGGAATTCTATATATGGGAATATTATGGCAAGAGACTGGTAAAGTATCACGTTTCCATTATGGAAATATTCGTCCGTTCTGATTTTCCAAATACCTAGGGAATTAAGAGGGAAAAAAGACCAGAACCGGATATGACTGAAATTAATTAAACAACTGAGGATGATCTGAGGTTCGCTAAGGATTGGTCGCTTGTGGGCAGTTGGAAGTATAGTATTGGATGGAACATATTGACATTATTATAAATAGATAGGATTCTATTTAGAATGTGTTATCATATGGCAAAATATGGAAATGTTTCCATAATAGGAGTTGGATATTAAGGATTTATGTAGATTAGAAACTTTTATGAAAGAAGGATGTTCAAAGGAATGTAATTTGAATTTGAGACTTCATGTCTATGGAGTTGTCTTGTAACAATCTCCAATAGAGCACTTTGTAATATCATTGACAAAGTCTTGGTGACTTTGGTGCTATGTCATTACAAAAGGATCATTGCGTAAAATGTTAAAATCTAACACATAGCAAGAATTTGGTATTCTTACACTTGTGATAAGGATTGGGAAGTGTGAAATGAGCATCATTGGAAATGTGTTCAATTGATCTATTTCACAAAGTAAGGACCATAGGTAAACATAGTGTGCATACTTGGAGCATGGGATAACTATTGTTTTTCAATTCAAGTATTAAGTTGATTATCCGAAACATTATACAATGAATAATGTGTAATCGATATGGTGATTAAATAAAAGGTGTTTTATTTATACTCAAAAGTTTTGAGGCCGTATTGGATTCGATTATTCTTGTGTTTCACTTCGCATGTTTTGACTTCCAAAATAATAAGATTATTTAAACTATCCACAGTCGATCATACTTTGGAAGTAGGTATGAAAGAAGACTGTCATGAATTGGTTTGTAGATTGTCTAAGTGTTTAGACATAGCAAAGGTTTGCTGCAACGTTCATGAGTGCTCTTGAAATATGATTTGAGTATTGGATTAAACCCACGCTCACGTGAATCACTTCATGGATTTTATCACGAGTGATTGTGAGACGATAATATCTTATATTCTTGAAACGGAGACACGTGAGTTGTAATTTACAAGTCGTTTGCACATTGATAATATGTAAACGCACCAGTAACTTGGTGTTATAAAACATATTGTTGTGTGTGACTTGATGAGTAAATACAAGCGAGAATTTGAGTCGAAGTTTATCCGTTCCTTTTACCCTAAGAGGGATAAAAGCGATATCGGTGGGCCCCTCGATGATTTACTGATGACACCCTAAGCGCTTGGCCAAGCCTGGACTAAGTTGATGTGTTCAATTGTAGTCTGTTGTCAGTCGTCATAAATCGAAAATCGGGAAACAACACATGAACAGAGAGAATGATTAAAATCCATGTCTCAGTTCATACGATATCTTGTATAATGGAGGAATATATGATCCCTTATCTAAAGGACACGTTGCTGATAAGATCAGAGTTCGACAGCGGCTTTTGAAAGCTACGATTGCTAATCAGGTTCTGAAGTCGTACTTGCAATATAGTTATTAGACTTATCCAAGTGGGCGACTGTTGGATTAGGTGTCTAAGCCCATAACTATTTTGGTATGTACTTGACCTGATTATGAGCATGATCCTTTTGGGTTGCCTTCACCTTAGCAACTGATATGATGAATAATGGAGAAAGAGAATTAATTGTGATTTATTAATATATTATGTGAATAATATATTAAAAGAGAAATCATATGGTTTAACTAATATTGATCAAGAATTAATTTAGAATTAATTTTGTGGTCAAAAGAGATTAATTAAATCAAGGGGACTGATACAGTAATTATAAGATAGTTACAAAGTTGGGCTTAGGATCCACAAGGAAGCAATGGCCGAATTCTATGAGGGGGTCCATATAGAAATTGTCCAAGGGGCCTTCTGGAAGGATAATTTGGGCTGCTTAAGGACTAAGCAACTGGATCAGGGTTTTGACTGAAACCCTAATTTCTCAGCTATATAAGGAACCCTTGGGCATGCCAAAATCGGCCATTAGAAACCCTAGAAGGATTCCATAGCCGATTTTGAGCCTCTTTCTCTCTCTCTCTCTCTCTCTCTCTTGTTTTTCCTTGTTGCTAATGGTGTTTGTGACTCCATTAGAGGTGCAACACTTGGGGCACTAGGCTTTCAGAAGTCAAGATCAAGAAGGATTAAAGTTGTTACTACTACATAAAAAGAGATGTAAGATCTAAACCCTAATCATATGTGAATTTCAGATTTGGTATGCTAGTTTTAGGGTTTATTGCTTTGATATTCAATGTTGTATGTTCAAATTAGAAAAACCTAGATCAAAGCAATTAGGGTTGCATGTACACGATAGGAATGATGTTATGCTCATAACCCATCAGAAGCGCCAACCGAAAATTTGAGCCTCCATCCTCCTTCTCAATTGTCTTCTGTTGCTAGTGTTGGGTGTGAACCATTAGAGGCGCGAATTTTGTGGCGCTTGCTCTCAAGGTTTCAATAACACAAGGATTTGGATTGTTATTACAATATAACAATCAATGAAAGAATTTTATAACCCTAATTATGTATTTTGATTATATACTAGAGTTCTAGGGTTTTTCTATTTTGTTGTTCAAGTTGTATGTTCAATTAGAGAAAACATAGATCAAAATTATTTAGGGTTGCATGCACACATAGGATTACATGTTTTGCATAATTCCCATCAAAAACTTAGATATAGAAACATTAAGTAATAAAGTTTGGATATTGGACACTTATAAAGGTCCAAAATGAGTACACGATGATGATGATGAGGTTTCCTTGCTAAATCCACAACTAGAGCACCTCCTTCTCCTTCCTTAAGCTACCAAATGCACCAAAAAGGCCAAGAACCAGCAAGGGAATTAGGTTTAGGGGGTTTTTTTAGGTTTAAGGGTGATGGAGGCTGATAATGGACCCTAAAATTGGCTTAGAGGGGTTTAAATACGAAGGAGACCCTAAAAGATCATGGGCTTGAGCTGCAACAGACTTCACGTCGTGACCACCTATGTGTCACATCGTGAGATTAGTTCCAAAACGTGTTTCTCTTATTGGTTTGTCACGTCGTGACTACCCTATGGTCACGTTGTGACACTCGATTTTCCCCCAAAACCAATGTTTTGACTCCTTAAAACCCTAAACCGATCCATTATGGAATATCAGTGTTACAATTCTACAACCAATATTGTATATGTATATTATTGAAGTAATTTTAATGTGAATATGAACGTTTGATTATTCATATATTCATTAGAATGTTATTATTGGATTATAAATTTTGTGTACGTTCATTATTGTAATAAATTCTACTATTAGTTTTAAGGTGTGATTATTCATATATATTCATTGCTGAATAATGATATAAAGCTGATGATATAAAATTCATTGCAAAATAATAACATAGTAGTAGTGTTTTTACGTTTTCACACTATTTAGTGTTCTTATTTGAACTCTCTCTCTCTCTCTCTATATATATATATATATATATAGAGAGAGAGAGAGAGAGAGTTCAAATAAGAACACTAAATAGTGTGAAAACGTAAAAACACTACTACTATATTATTATTCTGCAATGAATTTTATATCATCAGCTTTATATCATTATTCAGCAATGAATATATATGAATAATCACACCTTAAAACTAATAGTAGAATTTATTACAGTAATGGACGTACACAAAATTTATAATCCAATAATAACATTCTAATGAATATATGAATAATCAAACGTTAATATTCACATTAAAATTACTTCAATAATATACATATACAATATTGGTTGTAGAATTGTAACACTGATTAGTTTATCGGTTACCAAAACAAACAGAGTTCAGGAAAAAGTGATTAGATTAGCTTATGCAGTATGAGAATGCAATAACATGATAAGTTATTTATTTAGTGTTTGACAAATTTTGTTTATTTTAAGAAAGACCAAAAAAGCTAAGGGTAAAAGGGTAAATTTGTTTGTAGGTAACTAGTCATGAAAAATGAAAATAGATTCTATGATCCATATCTTTTTTAAGGTTAAAACAATAATAAAAAGATAAATTAGTTTCCAAGTATAATAAAGACTTTAAAAAAAGTTAGAAGTAAACAAACTATCATAAGCGTCTTATTTAAATCAATAAACACCTTCATATTATTCCATAAAGGAGGCATCTTCTCTAAACACAACTAATCATTCAATTCTCATTTTATGATTACAACAAAACGAAAAAAATCATGTTTGTTTGTCACATACTCACATACGAATAGAACGAAGCATTACTTAGATCCTATCAAACAAACTTCCTTCTTTCATTTCTACAAAAGTTGATGAGATTTCTATAGAAACAAGTCCTGAAGATCACCGTTGTTGAAAATTAAGATACTTGATGCCACAAACAAATATGAAGAAAAACAAAAGGATCCAAACAATATGAGCTGCAGCCACAACAGGAAGAAAGCCATACTCGTATCCAAACGCCTCTTTAATGAAACCTTTTAGGGTTATATTGGCAACACCAGGAACCTCAAAATTATGATTTTGTTCACCAACTTGGATTGTTAGAAGGCCATACATTGTCCAACTCAAAGGTGTTAGCCAATAACACCATCTACTCCATATTGGTATTTGCTGCATTGTTCATGTTTGCTAGTTACTTAGTTTATATTATTAATATAAAGTGGTTGATTAACAAAAAGAAACATAAATGTGCTTAATATATATACCGGTTTAGGAATAATGAAACCTGAAAACAAGTTCCAAAGGCAAAGGAAGAAGTAGATCAAAACAGCTGAGATTTGTGGACTTGGTGTCAATGACATGGTCATCATACCAAACATGGTGAAATATATGTCACTCATCAACATATAAAAGAAGAACCACAAAAATTTTGAAGTTGTCCACTCGAATCCAATCAAAGGGTATAAAAGGAAGACGTAAATTATAGTTTGAATTGTAATGTAGATCGACTCTATAGCCACCTGAAAAAAATATCAAGATTCTAGTTAGCATACTTGTACTTGCATTTTCACAAGTTTGGAAAGAATCAAATCAGTTCCACAAGATCCTGTTAGTTATGAGTATTAAAGGGTATTTTAGACATTTTACAAATCTCATTGATCTTGTGTTTACCTGAGCAAGAGCATATGGTAAAGACGAATACATCCCTGCAGCCCTTTCACGATAAAAAACCGTTCTTTCAACAGCAACAATCGGTTGCACAGCATTTTGATTTATTGCTCCAAGAAAAACAACAGCAGCATACAAAGCTCCCAACATGTTTAACAAATCTTGTTGTTTTTCCCTAAATCCATTAAAATCACCATTAACATTAAATGCATTAATTCAACTCCTTTAATATAAGTTATATATTATAAGACGCTAAAAATAAAACCCAAAAGCCAAAACATCGCAAGTTTGTAACGGTCACAGACAACATATAGGCAGTAGACAACATACAACATACAACATACAACATACAACATACAGACAACAGACAGCAAACAGCAGACAGCAGAGACAATTTTGATATAGATAAAAAAACTCACATCTTTTTGCCCTTGTTCAAGAAAACAGCACCGAATATAGCAGCAATGAGGATAGTGGTGACAAATCGAGTGACATTATATTGTGGGTTTCTCCAATAAGACAAATGTTGTTTCCAAAAACAAGCTTTGCATTGTACAAGAAAAGGTTGAGCATACTCGGTGTGAAAAAAAAGGTCCTTGGAACCACTTAAAGGAGTACTAAGCTCTTTGATAACTTCTTGATTTCGCCTACAAAAAACATATAAATATTCGAACATGTTAAAAGACCAAAATACCCCCCAACACATATATGAAACAAATATATTCCCATAAACCTATTAACTTACTGATAAAGAGAGGAATTGAAATATATTTCCGCGTAGTCAACATCAAGTTGACTCTCAATTCCCAAAGAGGTCACCTCCAATACCCACGTGGCAGGATTATAACCATCATTAATCTTTGGCACTCCTGAAATAGACTATACCAAAAAAAAAAAAGACAAATATAAATAAATAAATAAATATTATTTCACACCTCAAACAATATTCAAAACAAAACTCACTTCAAAATACTCCACTAACTTATGCGAATTTTTCCCTAAAGGTCCCGCATAAATAATTTGTCCTCCCATCTTCATCAAAATCAACTGCAACACAAAAAGAACCAACAATTAATCAATTACACCTAAATTCATGTCATGATTCAAGAAAAGAAATGTTTAATTAAAAGTTTTTGGATACAAATAACAAACCTCATCGAAAGATTCGAATATGTCTATACTTGGTTGATGAATTGTGCATACGACTGTTCTTCCTGTGTCGACTGTGTTTCTTACAGTGCGCATAACAATGGCAGCAGCTCTAGCATCGAGACCAGATGTTGGTTCATCTAAAAATATTATTGACGGATTTGCCACTAGCTCTACTGCTATTGTGAGCCTCTTTCTTTGTTCGATTGAGAGTCCATCTACTCCAGGAAGCCCAACTATTGCATCACGTATTGGATTAAGCTCCATCAGTTCGATCAATTCGTCTACAAACATCTAGTGTTTAAAATAAACAGTTTAATTTAGAGAATGCAAGGGACTAAAAATGTCAAGATGACTGAAATAGGGACTAAAAATATAGAATAGGTACCGAATTAGTAAATAGTTGATCACAAAAAATACCAAAAAAAAAGGAAGGTCATATCACAAAAAAAAATGAACACCACCTTTTGGAAATTTATCATTTCATGAAAAAACGTTGTGAAATACTTTTTTTTAAAGAAATTGCTCCATATTTTTTCGCCTAAGTTTGCCTTTTTAGTACTTTTCACAAAAAAAATGAACACCACCTTTTGGAAATTTATCATTTCGTGAAAAAACGTTGTGAAATACTTTTTCTTAAAGAAATTGCTCCATATTTTTTCGCCTAAGTTTGCCTTTTTAGTACTTTTTATAATAAAGAAAATATTTTTTGTGAAATTTAAAGAAATTGGCTAGGGAAACAAAGCAAAATTGTTTTTTTTTGGGTACTTATTTTTGCAAAAATGGCATAATTTTTAACTAAATTTATTTTTTATGTACTTTTCGTGAAAAATACTATTTTCAGGAAATAAAAAAAAACACGAAATTGGGTAACATAAGTATTTCTTTCGAATGTAAGCAAAATTTGGTTCACCATAATCAGTTAAGGTGTTCCATGGATGACTATTTTATTTTCCAAAATTTAGCTATAAAATTTTCTCATGTTCATTTTTATGTAAATAAGTACTAAAAAGTTGTCTTCAAAGGGACTCGAACCCAAATGCTTCATCTAGTTTTGTTAACATTTAAGAACAAAAAAAAAAAAAAAAAAAAAAAAAAAAAAAAAAAAAAAAAAACCTTACGTTAAGCCAATTTCACATTTTTTTTTTTTTATTTCTTGAAAATGGTATCATCTTCTTGAAAAAATAGACATAACAATTTGCAAAGTATGACATCACAAATTAGCGGACCTTTTTTCCGCAAAATAGACAGTCATTTTGTGATATTTTCCTTCCAAGTTTTGGTAATTTTTTTGTGATTAACTAATTAATAGTAATAATAAATACCTTTCGTGTGTTTGAATTTACATCTGAAGATAAGCGCAACCAAGCCGAATATAGAAGGGATTCATAAACAGTAACATTTGGCGAATGAATATCATTTTGTTCACAATAACCACTAACACGAGCAAATGTAGTTTGATTTTTTGGATTCCCTGAAATAAAAATATTTCCTTCAACACATCCACCTGTCTTTCTTCCCGCCAAAACATCCATTAACGTTGTCTTTCCGGCCCCACTAACCCCCACAAGCGCAGTCAATATCCCGGGCCTAAAAGCACCACTAACATCCCTCAACAATTGAAGTCGTCCACTTTCACCCCCTCTTCCCTTCATTTCCTGTTGTAAAAAGTTTAACTTTATATTTTTGAACATGATTAAGCAATCAATGTAATGATATAAGACCCCTCTAACAACATAGAAAGTTATGAAACTTCGTTTGATATATTTAAGGGATAAATGCAAGAAATAGTTGTTTAGTCAATGTGGTCCAAGTGTAAAATGGTCATTTTTTTAAAATATATGGTTACTACTGGTAGAGTGGTAGTTCGATTAAAAGCTATTGAGGGACTAAAATCGTTATGAAACACAAAATAAGGACAAAAATTGAAAACGGGTTCCTTTTGGGACCAAAATCGTAAAAATGTGTTAAACTCAGGGACCAAAACTGTAATTTACTCTTTCTTATTATAGCATTAAAAGAAATGACTCACATTAGGCATATCAATGCTGTAGTAGACATGGTTGAAAGCAAGTGAAAGGGGGCGAAATGGTAAAACCATTCCTCTTCTTTCCATTCGATCCCCATTTTTCCTTGAAGTACTTCTCAATGTCATCTCAGCATCTAATTCGATTATAACATGTCACAAGAATATAAAAATAAAATAAAAAATTCTAGATTGCAATTTATTTACAAAAAAAATTAGAGGTCCAACCTTCATAGAGTTCACTGTTTGAATTCTTGAAATCACTTTCGTCTCTGATAACAGTTTTAATATCACCAAGAGCTGAAATCATTTTTGAAAAGAGAAACATGATTTTTTAGAGATTAAATTCCAATTTAAAAAATTAGAAAAAAGATGTAAGAGTTAGGTGACACGTACGATTTAAGAAAGTTAGAGCTATGATAAATAATATATTGAAGAGGATTGAGAAGCCAATGAGTACTCCAATAGAAATATAGAACCAATAATCTTTGGTGAAAAAACTTCTTGATTTAAGAAGAGCTTCTCCAATGGTTGATGCATTAATTCTTGGGTCTATATTGGGCTGCACTAAGAAAATATTATTAAGAAACCAAAATATCTCATTATATATTATAGAATAGCAAGTTATATCAATATTAAAATAATTTAAAATATTAGTATATTAACAAAAATAATTAGATTTAGGATACAAACTAAAAATACTATAAAATTAGATAACCATATGCACATATAAAACATGATGACCCTTTATTAAAAATAAGATAAAATTACAAATTTGGTCCCTGTGACATTTTTTTTTTTTTTCGGTTTTGGTCCAAAGGCAATATGATTATTTAGAAAATATTAATAGCTGAGTAGTTAGATTTAACGATCCAAGGACCAAAACCGATATAAAACCTTATAATGACCAATATGGCAAAAAGAAACCTTTTGGAACCAAAACTATTTAATTAAAATTAAAAAATATAATTCCTTATTCTTTCCAAAAACATTCTGCTAACCAAACCCCCCCCCCCCCCCCTAATTATATTCTAGCAAAAATATCTATAATCATGAATATACATTTTAATTTGTAATTTACTCGATTATTTGAAAAAAAAAAAAAAAAAAAAAAAAACACTTACAGCACTCCATCTCTTATCAAGAAACTCATTTATAACCAAAGCCGTCTGTGCATACATCATAGGAGAAGCATAAAATCCCCATGACATCCATGGCTCTGTATCATCTGAAATTATAACAAATAAAAAAAAACATTTCAAATTTTATGTTCATAATATTAAGAAAAAAATAAAAATAAAAGAGAAAGTTAATTACCCTTGGCCACTACAAATCCTCCGAGGACTAAAATCAGCAATAAAACAAAAGCACCCAAAGTGTTTGCAAGAACATCTGTTCTTGCAACTGCAGCAATTAATCGAAAAAGGGAAAGAGCCATCTGATGTATGGAAAAGAACGTCAAGAACTGCTTAAAGAATCTGAAACAAAAAAATAATAATAATAAAATAAATGTTTTTTTAAAGAAAGAAACTTTTTAGCCCAAAATATACTAGTCTTTCTAAGATGAAAATATGATGCTGGAATTGGACATGTTTTTTTAAAGAAACTTTTATTTTGTGAAATACAATGTTTTTCTTAACGAAAGAAATATTTTCACCAAAAAAATATACCAGTCCTGATTAAGATGAAATTACAATTCTATAATTGGATGCATTTTTTAAATTCAGTTCTTTAATAAGAAAAAAAAAATGCATTCCTCTATTAATAAAAATAAAATTTTATTAGGAAATATGTATAAAAGTACCATTATTTTAGGAAATGTTTTGATAAAGTTTTAATTTTTTTTGGTAGAAAAGTCCCAATATTTAATTTTACACAATAATATGTTATTTACTGTTAAAATAAAAATAATGATTTTTTTCGTTAATTGGGACAGAATATTAAATAATCGAGATTTATCTGTTTAATTTTTTTTAGAATTGTATCAAAAAATTTCCCAAAATAATAGAACTTTTTTGCATATTTCTTAATTTTATTTGGTGAAATACTGGACTTTTTTTTCATATTTTTAGGTGTTTTTTTCCAAGTACAATGTTTCAATAAGATAACAACTTAAAATACAATGTTTTTTTAAAGAAAGAAACGTTTTTATTTTATGAAATACTTAACTTGCCCTAAAAAATATAAGTCCTGTTAATTCGGATAACTTTTTCAAAGTACCATGGCTATTTTAAATTAAAAAAACATATAAAAAAGGGTATCATGAGTGACATAATAAAAGTTAATTCAAAATTTAACATATACGAAATAAAATTAATGATTTACCTAGTGGCATCGGGTGCATATCCAATAGTATAATACGTTAAAATCACCCAAATTCCAGATTCCATAAAAGATAACGGAATTTTAAGTACCCAAATAGGAATAGCAAAAGCCCAAGCAGGATACAACAAAGAATCCCGATGTTTATAAAAAACCGGAAGCCTCATAACTATTAAAACAAGCTCAGCCATTCCATTAAACATCACCATTAAAAGCCCAAAAAAAAGCGACCCAAAAAACTTCCCTCCATTTTCAAAATTTCCCGCTTTCATTTCACTTCTAAAAAAAACACTCATTCCCACTAACGACATAAAAGTCAACTGAAAAGTCTTGAATATATAAAGCAACGAGTTTCTCTTTGTCAACAACCATTCTTTATGAAAACACGCCTTCAAAATCTCAAGATTTGATATTTCGAATTTACCCTTAGCTAACCCATCCGCGTGTGATTCCGAATTATTATACGGAGTGTGGATTTCGGCCTCGAGTTTGTTTCCGATATGGAAGGATTTGAAAGATTGTGAGAATTCGGTGATAGGGGTAAATCGGTAAATTTGGTCTGGGTTGAAAAAGTATTGTTGTTGGTCTTTTGGTGAAGTTACTTCTTGAAGAAAGTCGGGTACCCCTTTTCTTTCGGGACATTTGAATCCCATTAATTCGAAAAATTCTAGAACGTTTTGACTTGGACCTTGGTAGACTATTTGACCTTCTGACATCAAGATGATGTCATCGAATAGTTTGTAGGTTTCAGGGTCGGGTTGTAGAAGAGAGATAACCATGGTTAAGTCCATTATATGAACCATTTCTTTTAAGAACTTTATGATGTGGTAAGTTGTGGAACTGTCTAATCCAGTTGATATTTCGTCCATGAAAAATACTCTTGCGGGTCCTACCAACATCTCTCCTGTTTCGGATTCAAAATTTCAAATTAAAATGTTGTAATTTAATTATTTGTTTTCATGGAAATACTTTTTTTTATCACCTAAATATATACTTTTGTTAGTTCATCTTTAACCCGTTACACCATTTTTTGTATTGAAATGATAAAAATGGTGTAATGTTTGGTGCAAATTGTAGTTCTTCTTCAACCAATTACATAGTTTTTAACAACAAAAGAATATTCTATAGGTAACATTCCTTTTTTTTTCTAGGGTTAAATCTCATAAAAAAAATTATATTTTGTATTTTTTCTGGATTAAACCTTAACTTTATTTTTTGTCTGAAAAATACATTATATTTTTTCATTTTTTTACGAAAAAACCCTCTACTTTGTCTTTTTTTTTCGAAAAAAACACTCAATCTTCTAACTGCTTCCTAAACCCTCCACTTTTTTAGTATTTCCCGAAAAAAACCCTTACATTTTACAATTTTTTTGGAATCGGAAAAAATGAAAAAAAAGATACAAGGTTTTTCCGGACAAAAAATAAATTTTAGGTTTAATCCAGAAAAAACACAAAATATAAGGTTAACCATTTTTTCTAACTTTTATACATGTTCACAAAACCATCCTTACATTTATTAGTTTTTTTTACAAATTTGACCGAGATCTTTCTGTTACAATAACTTTATGAAGTATATTATTAGACTATTATAGGCAAAATAGATTATTTGTATATAATTAATTATTGTGTTATTAAAAAAAACCATTTTATATGTCAAATATGTTTTTATCTAAATATATATTATGTTTTAAACGATCAATGGGAATTACTTTTTTAATAAGTTTGAAACATAAAAAGTAAATTTAATTTACATAATAACTTGATATCAATTTAATTTGTAATGTTAAATAACAAGTGTAAGAAAATATTACATATATACAATATTATTATACAAATAATAAACTAAAAGTGCATATATTCAAAATTAAAAAAAAAAAACTTGAAAAACATACCAGTAGTAACACGTTTCTTTTCACCACCAGAAATGCCTCTTCTCATTTGATCACCAACCATAACATCACAACAACCTTCCAACCCAAGAATCTATTGTATAAAAAGAGTAAATTACACGAATGGTCCCTATGGTTTGGGTAATTTGTACGTTTGGTCCATAATTTATTTTTGTAACTCAGAAGGTCCCTATAGTTTATTTTTGTTACGTTTGGTCCCTATCTTACATAAAAAGACTATTTTGTCATTGATTTTTTAATTTATTTAAATAGGTGGGGTAAGTAAGGTAAGGTAATATGAGGTGGAAGTGGGGTTGGGGTATGTTTATTTAAATAAATTAAAAAATCAATGGCAAAATAGTTTTTTAAGTAAGACAGAGACTAAGCACGTAACAAAAACAAACATTAGGGACCTTCCGAGTTAAAAAAATAATTAGGGACCAAACGTGCAAATTAGCCCAAACCATAGGGACCATTCGTGTAATTTATTCTATAAAAAATAGGTAGTCCATCATATTATCATAAAATTTATAAACTTTTCACATCGAAGATTCATAAACAAAACCTTGAGGATATAATCGGTGATCAAACTGGTTTCTTGACCTGAAACAGCTATGGCTTTCATGAAAGCATCAATATCTGGATCTGGTTCGATTCCTGCTTCTTTCTCTTTCTTCAAGATCTCTGTAAGCAAACGCGATCTTTCCCCAATTCCTAAACATCTTCCTGAAAAATCCAATGTCTCTCTCACTGTCATCTCCCCGGTGTGAAGATTATGAGGACTTATATAAGCACAAGTTCTTTGAGGAATAAATTCAAACAGTTGGTGCCCACAATAAGAAACGTTCCCAGATACCTGTTTTCAGATACCAGATACGAAATCTAAGTGATTTGAGTTGAAGTTTTTCGAGATTTGAATGAAGAAGACGAAAAAAATGACTTACTTTAAGATCATGATCGAGTTTCCCTGCTAGCGCGAGCAACAATGTGGTTTTTCCTCCACCTGGTGGACCTAAAAGCAGTGTCAACCTGCATTCAATCACGATTACCATGAACACGATGAAAAAGAAAAAGAGGAATCGAAATCTTAACAGAAGAAAGATTAATTTATACCTTGATGGTTTGACAATGCCGCTAATGGACTGAAGAATTTTGACTTTTCTCTTCTTGGAAGGGACGATCCCAATTAAACCCAGTGTGCTCTAATGAAGTAAACACCATGAACATAAGATTCAACTCTTCTCGAGTGGTTTATGATCGATGAACATTTGGGTGAAATCAAAAGAAAAATCGTACCTCGATTGAGTTGAAGGTGGTGTTAAAGAGAGAAGGAAGAGCTCTGCGACCTACATAAACATCTCCTTCCACTGACAAATTCTCGAACTTTACTTCAATCTTTGGTGTCTCGATTCCAACCCTGAAACAAGCTCATCAAAACCCAACATTCAAATTTCCCATCTATTATCAAATATATTATCTTGAAATTTTTGTTGTTGAAATCATCTGGGCTAAATGCAACAAGTACTTTATTTGTGTAGCATTTTGCTTCTGTTCTAGGTGTTTTATTATTTACTCTCTTTATTAAGAGATTGTATTATATTTTGTATTTTTATCTTTTTCTTAACTTCTTATTAATACATTATATATTTTTAAAATATATTTAATTAATTAATAACAAAAAAGTGATAATATAATAAACAAATAAAAAAATACCGTAAAAATTGTTTTATTTAACCTGTAATGTATTTATTGCAAGGTACATACCTAATTATTCATTCAACAAAAACATTAAATATATACAATAGCAATCTAAATTGTCATTTTCATTCATGCAAAATAAGGTATATTTTAAAATTTAAATAAAAAAATACATTACAGTTTGTTTATGAAAAACGATATGATAATATATAATAAAAATATAATAAATTGGCATTCTCATTCATGAAACAAAGATGATAATATACTAAACAAAACAAAATAAAAATCACAATTTGTTTTATTTAACTCGTAATTTATTTTTTAGACGGAATGTATCTTTATGAAAAATAACAAAATTACTTTTGTCACTTTATTTTTGCCAAGAGAAACATTTTAATTGGTGTGAGGCTGTGAGCATCAAATTATGATACAATATATAAATTAAAATACAAAAATATTATTAATAATATGAAAATTATAAAGCACGTTGTTGTTTTATATAAAATGACTAAAGTATTGTATAAAATGAAAAAATGATTAATTATACGTTATTATTATCTGTATTAAACCCAACAAATTAAAAATATCAAAATTAAAATAGTGGAAAAGATACAATTGTAAGTCTCACCTATCTATCCTTTCCCTTATTCTTTTTAAAAACTTTTCATGATCTTCATCTACAAACTCCAGTACTCTATCAATCAACTCCTGTCGTTGCTTACTAATTTGACTCGAATCATCTGTGAAACCACCGATCCCCACCACATGACCCATCGATTTCTCACCTGCTCAGCCCACAGCCACCACAGGAGCAAGGTGCAGCCGCCACCGGAGCAAGGTGGTGGCCGGAAGTTCTAAATGGTGGATGATGGTATATGATATATGATATGTAGATATAGTAAGCTAAGAGAAAGAGAGACGCACAAAACTTATCCCATGTAATTGGTTATATATAATGCAACATTGCATGCATGAGCTGCTGAATCAAAGGAATAGGAAAAGTAAAAGGGTAAAATAGGGAATAAACAGTTAGTTTTCTCTATATTATATATACAAAAGGTAACAGGTCGATTTAACTTGTAAAAAGGAAGTTAGAGTAGAATAAAATAGAAGAAACCAATTGTTGATAGATGAATAAATTTTGGAGTAGATTGATATATATATCATCTTTTTTAAAAAAATTCAAACAAAACACGAGAGTATTGGTCAAAAGGAACAAGTTTAAAGAGTAATTCAGTTTTTGAGTATCAATGTTTGGTAACGTGTTAATTGGGTTATGGGTCAAAATAGGTAATATGTTAAATATGATTATAAAATTATATTATTGAAATAGAAAATTATAAATAAAGCCAATTTTCTTAATGACTTTTCAAAGTTTAACTGTTAATTACCCAAATGTCGAAAATAATCATCAAAATCACATGTGAAGCACACTATCATCAATTTCGTCATCATTGTCGGTGATTTCAGACCAGGCCTTGCGATTTCGGCTCATATTTGGCCTATAAGTCTGTAGGTATAAAAAGTCAAATCCCAGAATTAAAATATTGAATTATGAAATCAGAAGTGACATGAGCCATTTGTGATGGTATAGGTCATCAATGAACATCTTGTACATTGATGACTTATAACCATCACATATAGATCATGTCATCTGCAATTTACTAAATGTATGATATCTAATAAAACACAAATAAAATAATAAAAAAATTATATAACTTGCAAAATTATCAGAGGAAAAACCTTCTTCAGCCCTTAAATATTAGAGATAATTTTTTCAACTTGAAAATGTGAAAATGAAATTAGATTTCTGATTTTAGGGTTTAAATACTATATGCATGTCGGAGGAAATGAGCTAAAATCGTAGTCCACCCAGTAGCGAGTTTAAAACATATAACCACATGGTTCACTATGTAAATGAAACCGATATAAAGTGAAAAAATACTAGCAGAGGGTCCGGATTGGGTTGGGTCGTATAAGAAAAAAGAGATTTAAAGTTCTTATAATTGTACCCGACGAGCTCGAAGGAAACAACCATTTGTTTTTTTTTTTTTTTTCCTTTTTTATCTAATCTTAAATGTACTCAGCAAAATGAGTTCAACTTTGGGCTAATGAAATACAAAATATAGGCTTTTAATTCGAGATTTATATTACATATCTAAACCAAACAATTTATGGTAGGTTACTAAAAAAATTGAGCTAGTTCACATATGATTTTTATATATTAGTTGTAACTAAGATTTAAAAGTTAGGTGGGTCAAGTGACCCACCTTGTTACTATATGGACTCGCCAATGAGCCCACCCCACATACCGAGGGCTACAAGGGAGAAGGTTGAGATTGTATGTACCTCACATGTGATTTTGATGGTTATTTTTTATATTTGGCTAAGTTTTGGCTAAAACTTATAAATGTAATTAAGAAAATTGATTAAATTTATAATTTTCTCTTAGTGAAATAATTGTCTAAACATTTTTAAATAAAACAACGTAGGATGTTGTAAGCATTTTAATATATATCAATTGACGTTCCACAAGTTAACATATTTTGGTGTGTTTGACACGGAACGTTTGAGAGATTCTAGTTTCTAGCGTTTGACAAAACTTTCCGTTTTTAACAAAAAACACCATTTTGTTAAAAACGCTATATGGTGGGATGTTTATCCTCCTGATCTTTTCACCATTACTAATTTTTTTCTTGGCATGATTCAGTCCTCCTTAGGGGTGGGCAGCGAAAGGCTTTTGAAGCAGTTATTTTTTCTACCTTTTGGTGTTTGTGGAAATTTAGGAACTCCATAGTTTTTGGAACAGACTATCCTAGGAAATCCATGATTTTTTTATGAAGTTGTTGAGATGACGTTTTTTTGGATTTCCAATAGATGTAGAAGAGTTAAGCTTAGTTGGATTGATTGGCTCCATAAACCTGCTTTTGCTACTCTTCTCTTGAAATGTGTTTTTCCTAGCTTCTTGCTAGGTTTTTTTTTTTTACTATAAAATCATCTGCCGTTCCAAAAAAAGAATAAAAAAATAAAAAATACATTGTTTGACACTACAGACTTTTAGCATTTAGTTTAAACAAAACGTTTTCAAATCTAAAAGTTATCTCACGTAGCGTTTAACAAAACGTTACCAGCTAGTTTTGCCGAAAACGTCCAAGTTCGACACATTTTTTTTACCTTTTTTTGTGCACCTTTTAAGTTCTTAACCACATAATATAATCCAAAACCGATCGAAACTTTTTCTTCTAGTCAAATAGCTAATAATATTAGTTAATTCGACAAAAAAAAATTGGAAGGATATGTAATTGATATAACTATAAAAGTATGAGCATGTGGTTGGGAAATAATAATATTGATCCCATGTGGAGTTAAGAAAGACATGAAGTATGTCTCTAACTATTTCGTTAATCAATAAATGACTCTAACCACTCTTACAACCGACATATGATCATAATTTTCTCATATTGTCCAAAACTTGAATATGAGGTGAATTATAGATTTTTACGTTCTTACCACAGGAACAAGCATGTTGGGACTGATCTTATGTTCAAATTCGATAAAAATGCTAGCAAAGTGAAAACTTCACTATTTATCGCAAAATCATAGCAATTCGAAACATACGGATTAAGTCTAGAAGCAAGAAAGATAGACCCATCAATATTAATATAAATTTGTTAAAATTTTCATGTCACGATGAATGCAAAACTTTATTAGAGATCCCTAAGAAACAAATTTGTTATTTGTGACTAGAACATTTAAGATGGGAAAAAAAATGACCATGAATCACAAGTTAATTTCAAAGAAATGCATGAGGAACAAAAGGAGTGGATGACATAAGGAAGACAAAATATGTAATAATACTTCTATCATCTTTTTCAATTTATATATAATAAAGTAGTTTTGTAGACAAAATATGCATTTACATATCATTCAAGGACCGAAATGTGTACTATTGTAACAAAACCGGTTACCTCATGACATGATATAGGTTAAATGTTTATGACAAAACTACAAAAATGGTTCATGTTGTATGTATTTTTCAGGAAAATATCAAAACCCTTAAAATTTTGGATTAGTGGTCTTTGAGTATGTTTGTATCTGGAAAAAGTTTGTATTTTCTATTTGGAGACCATTTTATAAAGTAAAAAAATTGGATATTCCCTTTAAATTGTTTCCGTCACCTGTGATAATCTTCCCCAACTTCACTCTTCTTCACTTTCTTCTTCTTCTTGAGCTATTACATAAGCAATGGTTGTTTGTTTTTTGTGGAAAGCTTGCAGTGATGAAAACATCTTGGACACCACTGAATCATGGAAGGCGAATTTATGCTTTCTCTATGAACGAATCTGTTTGTGGGTTTATCGGGTGGGTTGACCCGCCCATGTGTGCTAGCTTAAAGTCATCATACATGGCCTGCTATGAAGTATGAATATGTTGGAGGAATGGTGCAATGGTGTAACGCCCGCAGATTCGGGCTAGTCAATTTAAAGACAATAAGCGTCAAAAACGACTTTTTGACGGAAGATTATTTAGAACGAGTAATCTTAACCAAGTGGTAGTATATGTTACAAGGGTTTCGTACATATAAAGAACGCTGAAATTCGAGTTATTACGAAGAAGTTATGACCCGTCGAAGTTTCGCGACGGAACCAGCACGGCACCGGGAGACGTAAATAGTGAATTTACGATAGAGGACTTTTTAGCCTTAGTGATCTAAAAAAATTTGTAGTATACGTTAAACCGAGAACATACAAAAAAAGAACGCCCAAATCTGACTTCGTATGAGGAAGTTATGAATTTTCTAAGTTTTGACATAGTAGTGCACGGTCCGAAACTCGAATTTTAGTTCGAGCAGTTTTTGGCCTACACGACCTAAATGAGAGTTTAATATCTCATTAATAGGAACTCAACGATAAAAAGACAGACGAAAACGGAGTCCGTATGAAGGAGTTACAAATTATTCGCGGTCATTTAACAGTCTAATCTCCTCATACTGTTAAATTTAAGATCGATCGAGAATTAGCCGATGTAGTCTAAATGAAAGTTGTAGATCTTGTTTTTACCTACACGTGGAAAAGAAAAACGTCGAAAACGGAGCTCGTATGCGAGAGTTAGGATTTTTCTAAGTCGGGAGGGTGTTGTGCGAGTTTGGGTGACGTGGCGCGATCACAGCCGTTGCTTTCTCTCCAAGAAAATCCATCAGATGACGAAACATGGCATTGACTCGGCGAGTCAGTGGACCGACTTGGCGAGTTCATCAGGAATTCATCCTATAAATAAGAGTGTCGCGTTCCCTCATTTCCTCGCCCCTCAACCCTCTTCTTTCTCTCTCTATACTCTCTCTCTCTCTCTCTCTCTCTCTCTCTCTCTAGCTCCCCTTAAGCCCCCTAAAGTCTAGGTAAACCCCCTAGCACCCGAAGGAAGCCCCAAGGCTCCCGAAGCCCCGAGAAAAGAGCCTTTTGGCTCTGGAACGCTGCTCCGGCGAAGCCCGGTTTTCGAGAAAACTCGTTGTAAGTGAGCTACGCCTAACCTATCTTTAGTATAGCTTATGTTTCAACATAGTAATGTTATTAGGATCTTATAATGTGTATTTAGGCTATTATTAAGACTTATATAAGTGTTGTTATAATATCTTTTTAACTACTCGCGGTATGGGGAATATGGTTTAAAGGGCCGCATAGGGTTGTTGGATTTCAGAAGTGCTATATGCCAAAATGGTCCTGCCCTCCGGTGTTTTATGTCTGGCCCCTGTCTGTATATAGTGGTTGGAAAATATTGTTTAACCGCTTATATAATAATAATAATGCTAAGACTAATAATTGGTCATGGTAAATATTAGACTAAAATCTAGTGGTAATAATACTAGGTTTCGTCGGAGGAAAATAGAATCGTTAGAAGCGAAGTGCTGCCCGAGTTTGGAATCATCACTTTAACAAGTGAG